TGTGAATTTTTATCCTTTCCAAGATGTTCACCAATCCTCGTAATTAATCTACGACCTGTATGGCCTATATAACTGGAATTACATCCAGCACATTTAAATTTATATACTACTGAGGATCGGGATTCATTGGGGATAGTATCTTTAGTACTAAAGAACTGACTGATTTTAGTGGTACTAAATATCACATGTACTTTACAATCAATACAGTATTTTTTGACAAGATCCATGATTCTGCATTTCATGTTGTCTGAAAATATGTCAACTTACGTCCATTTGGTTCTATTATCAAGGATTTCAGTTCAAGAAGATTACCAGTTTCTTTATTAAGGAAATATGAAAAGATTACTCTTCGTTTGAACAAAGCCGAATTGGATTTTAATTTTTTACATAATTGCAAGGCATTCGGAGTTTTTCCTAAAAATATATATATATATTATTATTATTATTATTATTATTATTATTATTATTACACAGAAAATGTGTTCAAGTAACATTAAGATATAAGTTTATATGAACTAAAGGTGTATCCCATATAATGGCTTGATATTTTCTTTTATTTTATATGGGTAGTAAAAATATTTTGATGACTAAAATTTGACATTTAGGAAAACAATTTTAGACACAATAGAAAGCATTTGTTTTTTCCAAAGTATAAGATAGCCACTTCCAGGTATCTAGAAGGGCCATATCCTTAATTTTCTCACCCAAGCCAATGTCATGGTAGGGATGAGGTGGTCGTCCACTCCCAAGCCAGGAGCACCCCGACCCCAGTATGTCCACCCACTGGTGCCACCCCGGTTATTTTACATTGTATCACTTCACAGGTGACAAGTGGTTGTGTGCCCATACACACGAGTATGACAATTCATATCGAACACTAAGTGTTTGCCTTCTTATCAAAACTGAACTTTTCTAGTAGAATACAAGGTACCCACTTTTTATGTAGTTTGCCATTATTTTTCCCTTTTTCGTCAGAAAACCAGATAGAGGCCTATAGTACAACAGCAGACTTCTCCACTTTCCACAGTTAAATTACAGTTTGTAAGATGCAGTTAACGAATCTTAGATGCTATAATTGACTCGACCTAAAAATCTTTTAATTGTAAAGCAAAGTGCACACTGTTAATTTCCCCGCACTCTATCCCTTCGAAACCGAGTATCGAAATCAAGATAGGTCTGGCCATAGAGAAAATAGAACAGATTCTAATTTCTCTATAGTCTGGCTAAGTCCAAGGTCCGAAAACGTTCGTTATCATATTCATTCATAGAATTCAATAGTACATTATCAGAGAAAGATAACGGAAGCTCAATAATAGTCGTTTTAGCTTCTCTCAAGTATCTATTTCTCTTTTAAATTAGTAATAAGAACAATTTATAAGGAGAGAGTCTATGAAATTAATACGAATTTAATTACTTAATTACTTATTGATTGCTTGATTTGGAGAAAACAGGATCACTCGATAGCAATTATTTAAATTTGTTATTTCTTGCATAAAACACTTGTCAATACCTACATTTGTTACAAATTATCACTCCGAAAACGAGAAAATAATTATCAAATTAACTGATCTATTATTAGACCTTAAACTTATAGCTTATAATACTGCGTAGGCAATGAAAGTGATATAACGCTTTGTTTAGCTACGGAAATATTATTTTTTCCCAGACTAGGTCTTCTTTTATCTCCACATCCCACGTTTGATAATCTTGTATCCATGTACCTATTGTGGATAACCGCACATACCATATAATGTGTGACATACCTTGCCAACGACTTAAGCTTGCCAAGCTCCCGAACATATTGTTTTATTGCCGGAAATGATTATTTGTGTTTTAAGGATATACAGCTTTCCATAGAGTATGGAAGAAAAACCCCTTAAGAATTGAATTAAAAACTTTGGAATGTAAAAGGCTCAATTAATAGCACTTTAAATGAGACACAAATGAATTGAAATTTGTCGCTGATTTACAAAGCTTACTACAAAATTCCAGGCAATATAAGTGTTGAATGGAAAGGATTATAGGATGCATATTAATAGGCCAAGTCTGTTTCATTTCTGTCACAATCTAATTGTGAGAAAAGCGAATAACTTGCTTGAAAACAGTGGTGTACCTAAAAAAAAACTCGCATCCCTCTGTCGCACCCCGCCACCATAGAAAATTTTCAAGGAAAAAAAAAAAAGAAAAAAAAAGAAGCAGGCTCAAGTAGATGAAAATCACCTTATTATTATGGTTATTATAATTATTATTTATATTATATAATTAATAATAATAATTATTATTTATTATTATTATTATTATTATTATTATTATTATTATTGATATAATAATGCTAACTGACTTTTGTCTTTGTCTTGTTGATGTTTAGTCATTTTGATGATTTTCCTTCTTCTGTATTTTATTGACATTTTAAAGAGGGCCCCTGAACATCAACTGGCCTCCGGGTTCAGCTGGAAAGGCTACCCTCTATAAATAATGTTGAAATAAATAAATAAATAAATTCATCGTGTACCCACACTTCAACTTCGCACCCCATCATCCCCTCCCCTCAGTTAAAGACACCTGATACCACACTGCTTATAAACATAAAATAAAAGTACAGGCGTAATTCAAATTTTGTTTAGCTAGACACAAGGAGTACATTTAGTAATGATATAATTTTACACAGCTATTGATATACGTTATAACATCTAATGAAAATATGTCTGCAAATAAAGCGAGAAAGGGTGGGTAAATAACATGGGTGTGAGTATATAAAATCAGAGGCGGAGATTCCATATTTTCTGTACTTGAGGGGGTGGTCTGTCAATGGCTTACCAACTAAATCTAGTGGGTGGAAGGGTCCAGGGTAAACATCAGAGCTCACACATTGTAGTAAATGACCAGTAGTAATCGATATAATGACAAAATGCTGTATAGGCCTACATTTGATCAAGGAAACTGAGTCAATACACTAAAATCAACATAATGTACTATAAAAAAGTCATAGCGCAGTAAATTATAAAACTAGGCTATTACGTATAACATAATAATAATAATAATAATAATAATAATAATAAATAATAATTCTGGATTTATTTTCTTCACGTTGAAACAATCTCGAGGCGCTTAACAACAACAGAGAAGAAAAAACCAAAACAAGTGCAAATGTACCACAAAAAAAAAAAAAAAAAAAAAATTGTTATCAAATATTTGGTTTTAGTTTAGTTTAATTAAGTTCAAATGATTGGTTTGATGATTATCAATAAACGATTTACAGTATTTGAATTTGTTTTACGTACCGTAGTTCATAACACCAAGGTAGAGACACAGTTAAAGTTAAATTGACTAAAAAAAAAAACTACACCTTAAAACATTGTTAAAGTCAACTGAAATTTTGTTTAGAATACCGTACACCTTAACAAAAGCCAAACTGTCTTATACCAAGGATGGCTCCGGGATTTGCCCGACGGAAAGTGCCGCGGTCCCAGACGAGTGGGCCGTTGTCCCCGACGAGAGAGTGGGCGTGGTCAGGCGTCACGCAAAGTGGTCCAGGGGGAGAATCCCCTGAAACATATGACAATTTAGGAGTTTCAAAGGCTTATTTATTACATATTTGTGTAGTAAGGTGTAGAAAATACATATAATATTTTTTTCTCCCCGACGAATTGTGGTGTTTTTCTCTGACGGAGGCACTGTCCACTCCCACTGGCACCACCCGGTGCTATATTGCACTAAAAAATAAAACAAGTCCTGTTTAGAATAAACAATTGGTAGAATATGGATTTAAGTTACTCAGTAAGTGGCAATTTTTTTTATAACTTGGTGGATGACGTGAGGCTATGCTGACCGCACACTTTCACTTAATACCGGTATTCTCAACTCTGATCTGTTTTTATCAAATGGCATTTATTGTATAATGATAACAAGAATTTTTAATGCAATTTTAATGCAAAACACAATGTGGACAATTTGTGTTTTTACTCCCAGATTCTCAAGAACATTAAAACGATGCTTATCCAAGTATTGAGAACCACTTCAAACAGAGAAGATTCTATTAACGCGATCCTGTCAATCAAAATATATATTTCCTCTGACATATGGCGATACCTCATTTCATCGAACCCGATGAAAGAATTAAATTATATGTATTATCATATGTTTATTGTTTGAAATAAGCATGTTGGGTCACCTATTATTGAAAAATCTATCAATCGTTAAATCTGATCCACGTGTGTTTTGTTCAAATTGGAAAATATTATATAACTGTATCCAACTAGAATATTGTTAAGTAAAATAGATAAAAACTGAAATGTCTGCCATGAAGGCAAAATTGATTATATTGAACATTTTCTATTTCCATGTACCGGTACTAAAGTTAAACCACACTGGCGTGAGGTTTCAAAATTATTTTTGGTATTACTGGTAAATCTATTAACTTCTGTATATGTCTCAAATATCCTTAATAAAGAAGCATTACAGGTAAATTTCGGGAACTGAAATCCTTGTAACTGAACCAAAAGGACGTAAGTTGATAAAAAAAAAAAAGAAAGACCACACATCTTATATATAACACAAAAGATTTAATATAAGACATAAATGAATGAAAATAATATGATTATTATGAATAAATGTGGTTACACCGCAAAAGAGAAAAAAATGTTTGAGTTAAGACTCAACACAACTATTTGGATAAATACCGATGTTTGATGCGCTTAGAAAATCCCCAACTATTACCAGTTAGGTCTGAAAGAAAAGGCAGGAAACCAAATAAATAATAATATTAATAACCATAGACATTAACTTCATTTTAAATTAACAAACACTGTGGTATGTGTATGTCATCCTCTTCGAGTCACCGGAAAACCTGTATTTAAGGTTTACCAACATGTACCGTATTTGATTTCACAATATTTTCTTTATGCTAAACATAATTGTCGTTACTCAAGTAAGTAATAGGGAAATACCCGTATTGGCATTGGAGTTTATCACAAAAAATGTCAAACATATTCATGATCAAGATGTTGGGAAAGATTTACTACGAAACATTGAGGGCGTAAGTCCTAAGTTATACAGCTTCTAAGAAAAATCACCACTAAACACTCGACATTGATAACTTTGCAAGATAATATCACGATTATAGTATTTACTGTATGTACATTACACTTGAGAAATATATAGCTTATGTAATCAATTTCACCCTAAATCAATCTCCCTTATTGATTGAGATCGCCATGTATAACATTGATTGTTGATTTTGACGATAACAGCGGCGCAGGACTATTCTTGTTACGTTGCTGTACAGTAGTAATTTGTTGTTGCTGATATAATCTATGTTGCTGTACTTTAGCTACTTATCTTAACTCCAGACCCATAAAATAATGTTTATGTGACACGACGAACAGATTTTATTTTGATATGTTGAGTAATAACTAAACAAGTAGGGTGGGTGTAGATTGGTGTGTTCGTTTTCAGCTTATCAAATTCCAGATACATTTAGGGATACGAAGAGGTACATTTAAAACTTGGAATTTGAAGTTTCGGAAAGATTTGGGGAGTTTAGTGGCTTTATTTTTTTTGTAATTCACTGCTATATAAGTCGGAGTTTGAGATGGATTTGCTAACACATTCTTACAGAGCATATCAAATAGTCAAACCAGTAGCATTTGAGTTAAAGCAATTGGAAACAGTTTATTTGAATCATAATGTCATTCGCCTGCTATATTGGTAAGCAAACTCTTGTTCTAATTATAAAATAATATTAATATTAGACCATTTTAATTGTTATGATTATAGTAGTAGTAGTAGTAGTAGTAATAGGCCAATAATAATAATAATTATTATTTTTTTTATTATATTATTATTATTATTATTACTATTATTAACTAAATAAATTTATTATCATTATTATTATTAATTTTTTAAATTATTATTACTACAGTATTACTATTTTGTATTATTATTACTAATAATATTGTTATATTTACTACTGTTAAATTACGATAGTAGGAGTAATATATTTTTTACTATTTTTATAATCTTATTATTACCATAAATAAGTTTACAATTGATAATGATATAGTATTATAGTAGATCAAGTAATTTTTATCATCATTAATATGATTATTATAATTTATAATTTATAATGTGACTGACAAATTCCTTGTTCTCTTCGTAGTGTTGTCTTTGTACGGGGCGTACCTTTCTTCAGCGGCGCCTGTAGTACAGACTGTGGCGCCTATAGTACATGCTATAGCACAAACAGTGTCCACCAGTGACGCCAACCTCCAGATACACGATCAACTAGTCAGTGAAACAATGCAACTGAATCAAGTGGAAAAAACTACTCTTGATAGCTACGTAAGTAGGCCCTATATTATTTAAATTTCGTTCAAGAACAGTAAATGCTGTGGAAGCCACCGACCCAATCTGGAGAAATTTACAGAGTTATGATAGACGTAGGCCTAGTCAAGAGAGAAATTTTCTTTTTCATGCAAATGCATGAGTCAAGATAAATAAAAATTGAGAATGTCGAAATATTCTCTCTGATTTATAAACAGAGCAAATGGTGATTGACAATGCTAATGGTGTTCATGGTCACGTTCACAAAAATGACGAGAACGATTAGATGATGATGGTGATTATGATTATGTCGTCGACAATAATAATGATGATGTTGATGATGATACAGTAAAAACTAACAAAAAATATAATTTTTTCCTGTTAAAGAGATTAAACCGATTTCACGATCCGGACGCAACTGCCGAAAATATAAATATAATTGGTTTACCGATAGCAAGCGAACTTTCTCTAAACACAAGACTTATGGCCACGGTAAGATATTATTTTATTTAGTTTAGCATGGAAAAACAAAATTCTAAGTACGGGATGATACTATACTATAGTACGCTTAATATTTTTGTTTAATATAAATATATAGATAATAATTGTTGATATTAAGTATGGTTAAATTCGCAAGAAATCAGGTAGACCTACATCTGTCAGCAACCCACATAGACAACATAGACGTTTATGAAAAGTTTATAATGATGATTAAATCGGATGAGGCTATATTGTACAAGGAGGACCCGACTAACTATGTTGATGAACTTCAACAGATTGGTGTATTAACGACTCGTGTTTTAAACAAAGCTCAATCGATAGTAAGTATTATGCAAAAGCATTTCGGGAACTCCATGCTTCAATAAAGTGTTTTGGTACTGGTTGGTACTGGGATGGGCATTTATAATGACCGTCGTAGTTTGTAAAGTCTTATTGGGGTTCAGGTAAAAAAACCCAAGTGGGGTTAGGAGTCCTTGGAGCTGAATCATTGTACCTTTGCATGGTGAATTCCGTTATTATTTTGATGGGGTTGGGGGGGGGGAATGGTTCAATTGTCAAATGGTTTTTGTTCAAAAAATAATTAATAGGTGGGGGTGGGGGAGACAAAAGTCGGGAACTCACTGCGCCCGACGCGATTCTATGGAGAAAGCCACGCCCGCAACGGATCGTTTTTAATGACGATTAGTTCAGATTGCCTTCGACAATCAGCTGACTGCGTCGCGTCGTCTAAATGCTCACATGGAGTAGAGTTGACTCGTCCGCCGACGGTCGTACGACGCAGTGAGTGCCCAACTTAAGGCAAACAAGACCATAGAGAAATAAAAACATTCTTTGAAAAATACGAAATTTCAAAAAGACCATTTAGATAGCATGATTTTAATAATGAAATTTAGCTCAGACTCTATAATAATTTATTAGAAATGGAAAATAAAATGTTTTTCTCTGCAGGTCGATCAAGAGAAATTATCAGGAACATCGTTGGTAAATAACCCAGAGGCAAATTACAAGACTGTAACTGATAAGTCTACATTGAATGTAATAACTCTCAAAGTATTAGAGGAATATTACTGGTATCTTGTTATAGCTGAGCGAGACTTTGATACAATGTTGTACAATCACCAAGTCGTGTCGGTATAGCTTGGAGTAATGTTAATTCTCGTCTAACTTTACTGCGGGTGACGCGCAAATAAGAATTCTTGGAGTATGGCGTCACTAGGTCTTTAAATCATCTGCGTGTGTGAAGACATTGAGTACTCTCTCGTGTGTGAATTTTAAGACGGATTTGGACCGTCGAAGAAATTTATAACTGACTTTAGTAAATCCGTCCCAGGGTCACGCTTTCGTAGCCCAGTCAAAAGTTTTTATACAGTATGCCTGTGGAATACATTCTGTCCGGTAGCTTATAGACAACTTTATTCATGATTTTGTGTAGCTATGTTTATCGTACTGTGTAGTTATATAAGCTCTAAGTATCAAACGATATTCGAATTTCTTTAATATTTATTTCGATACATTTTAGCATTTCATATTTATACTTATCGATCAATTTCCTGTATAACATTTGTATATGTTTTATGTAAAACGCAGAATATAGTTTTTAGCAATGACAATCATTACTGTGTTTTATCACCTTTGCAATTAAGTATGTTTTTAAATTGTCTCTTAGAAACTATAAAAATATAATTAATAAAGAAAATAATAAAAATAACACTATAGGCCTACATTAAGTCTTAATTTCAGGTCAGGGACTGAAGTAGCTTTATTCATGTCCTTCTCTTAAAAGATGTAGAAGATGTAGAAGATGTCTATTATAAACTAAGATGGTGTGCTAAATCGTTTGATATATATCCGTCAATTGCTTCATTAATTTTGCCACTTCTATGTTTTTACCAGAATACTAAATAAATGAATAAATTATTTGATTAAATTATTACTTGTAAACATGGGTCATCTATTCATTGTAGCTGAATTAGTATCATAACATAGTGTTTAATGTATGATTTAACCATCAAGTCAATGTATTATTATCCTAATATTGTCTTAATATTTTAATGTACATTTCTGGACTGTGAAACGCAAAATTAAATGCTGACCAAAAAAAAGTGTCAGTAATAACGCATTTCCCAATTAGAAAACGACGTTTACACATAGGCCTATGTAATTTACGCGGTCGTTCTGTGGTACCTGAGCAACGATATCCAAGTGGTGAGGCTTTGTAAATTACATTTCGTGAGTGAGAAGATATCATAGCTAAATTGTTGTAAATAAAAAAAAAAAAACAAAAAAAAAACCAAACAAACAAACAAAAACAAAAAAGGACAAACAAACAAACGGTGGAAGAAAAGAAAATCACATTCAAATTTAAGTCTGAAAATGCCATATCGACCATCTAGAGGTGCCACAGGCATTAAATGTTGTACCAACTCTACTGCGAATTCCTGGATTCGCCACATTCATTGTTCGGCACTTTACTTTTGTTTGCTTGTGTAGATTCTTAGAGTATTGTGCTGGTAATATAATAAATTACCAAGAAAATAAGCATTCTTGATGATGATCCCAGATGTGGGTGGACAATTTAGAATTAAAATATCACAAAGTCGTTTAAATCCTAAAAAAACTTTCGTATTTTTAGAAACCGTTTTAAATTCCGTTTTCGATACTATTCGGTCGCCCTAATAAATCCTGTTAATGAATTCAGATGTGAGTTGACATTTGTTATTTTTTTTTATCATAAAGTCATTTAAGTCCTAAAAATATGTAGATAGATTATAAAACTTACTAGATAATATATTTTAATCTGTATGTCCTTACATTTGCGGTCAGAAACCACACACCCACATACCCTTACACTACGAAACAGGTACCAGCTTCTTTCATTCATCTAATTGTGCGAAAATAATAGCACATAAGCCTAATTATTAAAGGTAACTTAATAAACATTACCATAAGTATATACACAGGCCTATGGACTCAGGTACGGATAAAGAGAAAAATCTAGGTAGGGGTATGTTACGTTCGAAGCACTGAGCTGAGTGGGGGTTTGGTGCTTGAGATTTTTGTTTAGAAATTCTTGACCAACATGGTACATATAATTTCAATAGAAAATCAGCATGTTTTTGAGTACCATGCGCACCCTTCTCTCTGCATTCTCTTCTTTTTTTCACTTTTTCTCTTTTTTTGGGGGACCCTCACACCCCGATGGCCCCCTGGATCCAACCCTAGTAATATGTTATGTTTTGGAGAAAAGCAAGTATGATAGCTTGTTTTGTATAATAATCTATAGACCTAAGCAAGTATTCGTTGTAATAAAGTGTAAGTATTTTTTTAAAGACCTGTCTACGTCTGACAGCTATTTTAATACATTTGCCGTCAGATTTTCTGTGACAACAGCACTTCATTTATAGCCACCAGGTCATTATATTTTGGAATACCAAGAACCTATCTTTCTTCTTTCTTCTCTTTTTTTTTTCACTTTTTACTCTCTCTTTGGGGACCCTAGCCCACCGGTGGCCCCCTCTCTTTTCAAAGACCTAAGTCTGACAGTTATTTTAATACATTTGCCGTCTGAATTGATGTGACAACGGCACTTCATTATCTCTACCAAGTCATTGTATTTTGGAGTACTATGCACCTCTCTTTCTCCTTGCTTTTCTTTTCTTCACCTTTTTTGACATCTCTTTCTCCTTGCTTTTCTTTTCTTCACTTTTTTTGGGGACCCAGCCCTGGTAATATTTTATGTTTCGCCAGAGAACGACTATGATAGCTTGTTTTGTACAATAATCTATAGGCCTGAGCAAGTATTCGTGTACGAAACAAAGTGTGCGATTTTTAAGACCTGTCCCTGTCCGACCATTGTTTTCATACATTTGCCCTAGGAATTTCTGTGACACCGGCAATTCATTTAACTGCACCACGTCATTATCACTATTGTTATTTGTTATCTCACGGGTTGGGGGAGGGGGTGTGTGGTGAGTGTGTGCAGTGGTGCTTTAATATCATGGTGCATTGCTGTCCGACGGGGATAGGTCTGTCGATTTGAATTGTGGATCGCTCGTAAAGACTCGGTAAGCATATTTTGCGGTCAGCTTGGAAACACCGGAATTAAACATATCGGATCCTGGATGATGTGATCCCCAGAATGACTCATATGTTGTTCTAGAAAAATTTAAGTCAAGAGAGTGGAATATACTGTATTGTATGGAAGGATCCGTTGTCACCTTTACAATTCAATGGGTTGTTATAAAAGGTAGCGTTTATGGAGCGTATATAATATCTGTATAGGCACTTAATACAATTACACAAACCATATAGTATAATAGAGCTTTTATAATAGAGGATTATATATTCAGAGGCTAAAGAAAAAAATATAGCTTAAAAGCTTGATGGATTTGTCAATGTGTTAATTGTATAGCCATTAATTTACATGTGCCGATGTACAGATACAAACATGCCCATATATAGTGAATCATAATTGAATTAATCCAGGCAATGTGACGATAGACATATATTGTTGAGATAAATTATTACCGGTAGTGATTCTAGGTGAAGGCAATATTGAGCGTAATTTAATTGATACATGTTTTATAGGCCTGTGGATTGTTTATTATGTTTTGCTTATTATATGCCTATTTCTAGAATAATGTAATAAATTTAAATGATAATAATATTAATAATAATAATAATAATCATAGTAATAATAATAATAATAATAATAATAATAATAATAATAAACAATTTGAAAAATGAATAGGCATTGTGTACAGTATTTTTGCTAAGGCTCTACAATATACGAAAGCGAATCCTACGTAAAAAGCACGCTGTGTTGCGAAACGTGCGCGTGTTCCTTTTCGACTGTAAAAAGAAATCTTCAATACAAATTTGTTTATAAGAGAATTAGGCCTACAATAGTTTTTTATATAACAAAATTTCCGAGTCCAAATTTTTACACTCGCAAATTCCTCCTTTTTAAAGTTCAAAATTTATATATGTAAAAAACGCTCTCTCTATAAAAGTACCGTAATATA